TCTTTATTTCATAGGTCCTCATGGTTGTATGGCAGCGAAGCATCAGTTCAAATGGCTGACGTACTGCTGTTGATGACGATGATGATGACGTTTTAGATCTATCAAGACCTCCTAGCACCTTATCATTTCCTGGCTCAACGATCCACTCAAGAACATTGGAACATTGCATTTAATGGGAACAAAAGCTCGAGCTTTACATGACCCATAAGGTAAAAGGAGTTAAGGTCGTGTCTAATGAAAGGCCAAGTAATCTTATAGCGGGTTGGAGTCGCGTGTTAGCCGTATCTTCATCGGGCTTATGCGGCATTTAAACAGAATGCACGCCGGCTCAAAGCGTGACATCTCACCACGCCCTCCGAAACGGCTTTGGAAAGAAGTAGGTAGAAGAAAAAAAGAAAGAAATTCCATTCAGTAGAAGGTAGCTATATTAGGGAATATCGCGGTGTAACTCGGCCAGATGACAGTCCAAGCGGGTCTTAAAGTCCGCCACAGTGGGTGCCAAGACTAAATCAGCAGGCAGAGCATTCCACGGTCGGCAGATTCGCAAAGCGAAGTAGTGTCGTCTGCAGTTCAGCCGACTGTGCTGATGTGTGAGCCTCAGTGGGTGGCCACGTAGGTGGGAGCCCGGATTGGTACATTGTGAGTAGGTGGCGACAGGGATGTCCAGGGTTGGATAAGATCATGAATACAAGAATCAGTTGGCCCCGTAGACGTCGGTACTTAAGCGAGTAGAGGCCCAGGCACTGAAGTCGTTGTGGATAATCTAGGTGCTTGAGACCTCGGACCAGTTTGGCTGCTCGACGTTGTGGGGCTTCGAGTATGCGTTGGTCCTTCAACAACCAAGGGCTCCAAGCCTGAATAGCGAACTCCAAGTGGGGTCGAAGAAAAGCGTTGAGGAGGAGGCGGAAATTGCTGGGGTCAATTTGACCGAAGGCTCGTTTCAGCAATCCCACCATGCGGCTAGCAGCAGCAGCTGCTTTTCGGCAGGAAGCGGATACGGAAAGACTCGTTCAAGTGGGACCGGAACAGTAGGATAAATCCCCGTGAATGTTCCTTCCGTGACGCGTCGTTGATCCAGGGTATTATTCGTCCGCGATAACTGGAATCCAGAAGAGTCAGATCAGCGCGCGCGAATCACACCACGGTCAACCAATTAATACCCACGCGACCTGCACTGGCAGTCCCCGCCGCACCGGTCACGTGAAATAAGAAAGAGAAGTACGAAAGTAATAAGAGCGTCAAGAAAAAAGATTTAATAATTCAATAAAACGAATAAACTAGGACGTGAAGGGGAATGTTAAGAATTGAAGGCCAAGAGCGTCGAGTCGGTGTTCGAACTCTTTCACTGTTGGTGCCAATACCACGTTTTCGGGCAGTGCATTCCAGGAATCCACCACTCGGCGTGATAAACGAAAGTCCGCCCGGACTCCATCCGATCGAGTTTTGTGTAGCTTCAGCGAGTGACCTCGGAGCGATGGAAGCCGAGCCGGTTGGAAAAGCCCGGATAAATCGGGTCCGACTTTACCGGTAGGTATACGATAGGTCAAGACTAGGTCGCCTCGATGTTGACGATAGTGCATCGAGAACATTCCCAGCGCAAGCAGTCTTTCTGGGTAAGAATGGTTCCGCAGTCTATAGACCAGTTTGGTTCCAACTCTCAACACTCTCTCCACTGACATCCTGTCCCTGACTAAGCAAGGTGGACAAGCCTGGATGCAGTATTCCAAGTGTGGCCTGACAAACGCTGAGAATAACCTAACAAACATAGCGCCCGTGATGGTCCCGAATGCCCTGCGGATCATCCACAACATTCTGAAACCCTTGCACGTAGCTTTCCTTCAGTTCTCACTGGATTTAAGTTCTGAAGACAATGTGACCCCTAGGTCTACCAATTGGGTAACATGGTGGAGTTCATTACCGCCAAGAAAATAACGCGTTTAGGGGCTATTTGGCCCTACTCGTAAGATGGAACACTTTGTATAGTTTATGGGCAACTGCCACAGAGCAGCCCAGTCCCAAAGTTGATCGAGGGCCCGTTGCAGAATCTGGAGTCCATCGAAGTCAGACACTAGGTGCCAAAACTTTAGGTCATCTGCAAACATGAGAGATGGTACCTCCAGCAGTTGGGGCAGCTCGTTGACATACAAGGAAAATAACAACGGGCCAAGCACCGAACCCTGAGGGAACCCACTGGGGACTGACTGTTGGAAAGACAGACTAGACCCGACACGAACACACATCTCTCTCCCTTCCAGAAACGTGGTGATCCATTTTAGTATACCCCCGGATATTCCATAGGACCGAAGTTTCAAGGGAAGGCGAGAATGTGATACAGTGTCGAACGCCTTGGAGAAGTCAATAAACACGACATCTACTGCATGACCCCGATCCAAAGCATCCGCCCAACATTCGCGTGCAACTAGCAAATTAGTCATACAGGAATGACCCTTGCGAAAGCCGTGTTGCAGTGGACTGAGCAGATAATACTCCCGCAGGTGGTCTTCAAGCACATCACTGACCAACTTCTCCAATACCTTGACCAGTACGCTTGTCAAACTTACTGGTCTATAATTGGCAGGAAGATGCTTGTCGCCCTTTTTAAAAATCGGGCAAACGATAGCATCCTTCCAGTCCTTAGGAAAGGAGCAGCTGCGAAGCGACAATTGAAACAAGCGCGTCATTGGGCCACATAGCTCGCTTGCTAGTTCGTACAGAAGCTTAGGGTGAATATCATCCATCCCAGCGGATTTAGCAGGGTTTAGAGCCTGAAGAAGATGGAGAACTTTTGCTTCCGAAATTGTGACGTGTGTTAAACAGGAGTCCTGGGGGACTCTCATTGCTAGGTCAAGATGCGGCAATTGTTCATCCTGAACAAAAGTTCCGGCATACTGCGCACTGAGTAGACATGCTTTTTCGTGATCAGTGGTGGCAGTGGCGCCGTCGCTGCCTAATAACACTGGGATAGATGAGCCAACCTTACTACGCCTTTAGACGTAGGTGAAGAATCTTTCGGGATTCGCGGAGGCTGAGTTAGCCAGCTCCATCTCATAGCTAAGTCTAGCAGCTCGTAAATGATTCTTGCAAGCATTCCGAGCTTCCCGATAACGCCGAAAAGTACATTCTGAGAGAACTGTTCGGTAGATCCACCAGCATCTTGCCCGTCTATTCATTAGCTGGTGTGCGACTGAGTCTAACCATGGTGGCTTCGCTTTGGCACCCTTCTTTAGCGAAAGAGGGATGTGGGGGTGGGATATGTTAAAGAGGAAAGACTTAAACGTATCCCAAGCCGTCTGTATATCATCATCCGGCAAGATGATGCATGCGAAACTTACTGCCTTAGCTCTAATAGACGGAAAGTCGGCGTGCCAAATGTTCGGAGTCGGGACCCTGCGTGAATCGTAGTCTCTAATGAGAGCACAAGTGAATAACAAACACGTATGGTCACTGGCTCCCAAAGGGGGGCCGTACTCAAGGTCACTCACAAAGTCAACCGACTTTGCGAAAACTAGGTCCAAAAGAGAAGGAGCTTGACCCACCATGTACCTGGTGGGTCGATCGACAAATTGGTGTAAGGGTACTTCTAGTCTCAAGTCGACAAGCTCGGCAGCCAACCCTGTTGTCGCTGCCTCACAAGATAGGTCATGCCAATTTACTTCAGGGAAGTTGAAGTTCCCCATTATCAAGCATCTGTTGGCAGAGCGAGTGCGGATGAAGTCAATGAAACACCTAGAAGCGCTATCAGGGCTCCTATACAGCAACACAATTTTAAATTGCGTTGATTCGGTACAGACTTCAACTGAAAGAGCTTCCACAGTTTTATCAGCTGAGTTAAAGGTATGTGTTTTGGATATGTTTACACCACATCTGATATACAAGGCGACACCACCGCCACGGCGATCAGATGGGCGGTCAGATCTAAGTATTGCGTAGTCCGGAACGTATAATTCACTGTCCATGACGTCAGAAGACAACCAGGTTTTAGTGAACGCGAGTACATCAGGATAAGAGTGGTCTATTAGGCCCCCCACTTCACACATCTTGTTTCGCAGGCTACGCACATTACTAAGAACTATGTGAAAACGTTTGGTATGGAGAGCCCCGGGTCGTGTGCTACCAGAATGGGCTCTGGTAGGGCGGAAGTGGACCGTCGGCTCACCACCTCGTCTGGGTAATGATACCCAAGTCTCTTTCGGCTGAAGAGATCTGGAGGATAGACGCTCTCAGGTAATACATAGGAGAAAAAGCGGAAGGGTGGGTAGAAAGGATGCGACATTTCGAAGCGTTAAATGGGAAATTGTTTTCTATGGACCACTGATGTAGACGGTCGAAGTCCGTCTGAAGTGCGTGGGCATCGTCCGGAAGGTTAATTGTGCGCCACAGCTTCGCGTCATCCGCGTATAGCAGCAGCGAAGACTCCACTTTCGGTGACGTTGTCAATGAAGGCTAGGAGGAGGTGCGGTCCGAGAACAGACAAGTGATTTTCCTATCGTTCCAGTAAATCCGAATCTGACCGTTTATGGAGCGTTGGGTGAAGCACTTAAAGTTGTCAAGTGTAGTTGGTTCCTATACACCAAATTTAATCCGGACGCGGACAGAAATCGGACAGTTGACCGTCCGGTGGTTCAATCAAGGCCATAATTCGCTGGGAAGAAGCAACATAACATCGCGCAAACGGAAGTGCAATGGAAAAAGTAGAAAACAAAGGAGACAACAACGATTGTCTGATTGAAAGTCATCATCTCTTTTCTCGGCGTAATAGGGATACTCCAGAACCAGAACTGCCAAGATAATGACCACTTCACGACCGTTCAACTAAAGAATTGGTCAAATTGCTAGTAACATCTGCACCTAGCACGCGGAGGTGGTTTGCAAACACGTAGAGAGAGGTTCCAGTGTATATTCATAAGCGACAGGTGCAAAAGCATATTAGTTTGTAGTGGTTGAGTGTCAAACTAATACACGGAAATTTAATTGCGTACATTATTGACGGCACATCTTACTTTTCCATTATTGATTTTAATTCCTACTTATGTTCTCTTCTTAAAACGCCATCCTTTCACTCATTTTAAAACACTTTCAGTTTCGTGAATTTTAGATGGACAGCAAGTGGTTGCGAATATTTCGTATACGGCCGACTCATGAGACGGCGGAGAGTTTAAGCGAACGTCAAAAAATACTCATCGGACGGAAGAATTGCAATACAAATTTAACGTGGCAGCTAAATGTATCCTCCACAAATTATTTATTGTTGAATATTTGAACTTCTAAAAATGAGAGAGCATGGATTTTACAAGCACAGTTACGTAGACTAATAAAGAGGTCAATAATTTTAAACCAATTATTTTGATTATAGTGCTTATTTCCTTGCTATGTGTGCACATGAATATTATAGCATGACAAATACTTTTACTTTTATATAAAAAGATGTTCCTTGGCGCCATCTCTTTTCTGTACTACAGAACATAGGGCAGCTAATAATTTAAATGAACCCGCCACTGTGCAATCAAACCTTCCCCGTGAGACGGTCATACGAACCTGAAAAATATTACATACAGAAAAGGCGCTGGAACAATTGGATGGAAGAAAAAACAATGTTGTTGCAAGTCTGATAACCCTTGTTTGAACTTAGGCAGAGGCATAATTTTCTTTTATGGTCATGCATAGAATAGATAGTTTTTTTATGAAATTCGGTTTACATGGAAGCTTGTACAGGTTCAGTTTCAAGTTTAATTCGGACCGAAACACTGGGATGGTTGTTTGTTGCATACTTTTAATCTAGGTTTTGTCTGTGCTATTACGAGTGCTGGTAAAACACATAAAATTTCATCACACTGTTTTCCAAGTTACCGATCCTACATCCTGGCCGGCTGTCCATACTTGGCCGGCTAATTTAATTGAGAAAGTTTATGTTAAACAAAAATTTAAGGAAGGTCAGTTATTTAGATAGGGATAATAACAGGAGATGAGATGAGCGGACGATAAGCGGTAGGGAGAAATCCTCTACCACATCATCCGTAGATTCTCACATGCGGTGACAGTTAGCTACTTCAATCTTCATTAGTTTAGCAAGGATTGTGTGGTGCTGCCCTAATTCTAAGCGCTAGAAATTGCACTTAAGTGTCGTGTAGGGCACGGAAGTGGAGAGTAGAGTTCGGAGTTCTGGACCCAACATCTATTGTCAAAAGCGAAAAACGATGGAGGGCAATTAAGCGGAAGCAGGCAGCCATATTGCGGAAAGATTAACCAGAGGAACAAGTAGTCGGTACGTACATTCAGCTAAACAAACAGATATTGGAAGACAGGAAGACGAATGAAACCAATGCTTCAAATTACTGAATGCATATACTATTCATGTTCACTACAAGGGCTCACACTGAATGACTATTGAAGGGTGCCTTCGACAGTGATTTCAGGAGAGGAACGGACGGAGCCCAGAAGGATAGGGTAGCAAACTTAGTAGACGCAAGCGGACAGGTGGAGAGCGTGGAGTTCGCTGGCATCTGGGATTCTGTGTTATTTCATATTTATTGTTAGTGTGGGTTGGGGTGCCCCATCTGTGGGCTGTTTGGTCGGTCCGCTCCGACAGCAAAAACCGGCTAATACATATGAAGGGCCAACAGGACATTACCTCGGCTGCAATCCGACAGTGCTTTTGGGAAGTGTAAACCCGTACCGCAATGTGAGCCCACGTCCAAAATGATCCTCGTCTCCCGAAGAAGCCCCAAGATGGTTTTCTGGGGCCAGACGACTCGTTATTGCACCGGCAGTGGGGTTCTGCGGTCGTTTGAAGCCAGGACTATGAGGCGATTGTTTCGGGCATCTATGTCATGGGCTTTCGCTGTTTCTCAGAGGACTTGAGTTCTGGAAGGTAAAGCTCGGGGGTTGTGGGGCGTGGTCGAGTCAGGCGGTATGAAGCCGTATGGATAGACAGGCAAATCCAGGAAACATAAGTTGTACACTTGTTTCGTTGTTTGGTAAAAAGGTTGTTAAGTGTTTGTCGGTTTGCTAAACTTCGTGGAGGAAACACTCGCTTAGCATGCAAGGTGAAAGATACTCATGTACAGAAATATAGGGATCTTTAACCAACCCTAAAAACGGATAGGAGATTTGGCCTGTCTATCGCGTCAATTATTTACTTTTCGTCTGGGCTTGGTTGGCTGGGTGTCAAGGGTAACAGAGGAGTCTAAGGTGCCTAATGCGGAAGATGCAGCTGCTGGGGCGTTACCGTTTGCCGCTGTACCAGGCAACGTTTGTGAGGATCCTACAAAAATGTCCCCTCGAGACTCTGGATGGACATCGTTGTTCGGAGACTATTCCGCGGTTAGATAAAATGCTTAAAAGTTCATTAGAAAACTCTGCAATGCCGGCGTAAGGGGGCTTAATGGGGCAACGCGCTGCGGGTGTGTGGACGTAAACGTGCGTACAGGCTGAGTCCACTGTGGGCCCGCACATGTCTGGTCGTCTCAGGATGAGATGTCTGTGGCGGAGAACGCGTGTCGGGAGAGGGAGACTGGAATGTTTGACGGTGGCGTGAACGACGGCGATGGGGGTTAAATAGACTCTCCTGGCAGTTTAAGATTCGTGCTAGTGCTGGATCTCTGATACTGCGCACTGCAGGTAAGCACAGATGCAACGGCTTATACCTAGGAGTAATTAGGATATGTTTTCTATCCACTCAGAGACAGAAGTGGCATAGATCATTTGCTTAACATGTCGCTGAAAACCATTAGACTAGGCTGTTCACCACTAGTTCTATGCCGTGGTGTGGATATGGCGCCAGCCTAATCTTTCCTAATGTATCTAATTGCAAAGCTTCGTAACGCATTCCGCTGTCCGTAGTGCCAAATCAATAGTTTATTCTCTGTAGTGCTGTGCACGTCTGTAATAGCATGACCATGGTAATAAAACATGTATGAGCTGTACTTCCACCGAAGGATTACAGGTTGACCAGTAACATCGGTGGTTGCATTCATGTAGTTGTTTGTGCGTATACGCCAGTGGCCATGTTGAGTGAGTTGGTAATGTGAACCTGAAGTTGTGGTTCTGCTCGACAGCTTATCCAACGAAAAGCAGCAATGCAGGACTTGAGTTAGATGACGTACGTGATGTGTGTAACATCCTCCTTAAAGGTAACCAACACCAACTTTATTTATTAGCGATTCACATTCGCCACGTTGCACTTTGGTTAGACAGATATTGCTCGCATGTTATAGGGCATATGCTTGCCAGGCGGAAGCTCACCACTTCCTGAAGCACCGCCATTGAACTATTAACGGAAGCGAGATGAACGCGAACCAAACAGCTAGCAATACAAAGAGGTTTCACGGCAAGCCAGGTACCGCATTGGGAAACACAACCTTTCAGTCGTGATCCCCGAATATTTTTACTCTGCGCTTGAGGCCTATCTAGCCGCTGCTTTACTACCAATTGACCTTTAAATCTCTTTCGTCGCAAGCCATTTATGCCTTCAATTACCTGCTCTGCACTCCCTATCGAAGCAAACTGACTACCACCTGTTCATCCACCATTCACACGCCGTTGGTATTTGAAGCATGTTTTCTGTCATCCCACGCAAGAATTGCATCATAGAAAACCGCTACTGCGTATTTGCTTAATGGCGTAATGCTCTGTATTCTATGTAGATGGAAGCAGGAAACCTACACGATCATTGTTTCGCAGAACGTTCAAAAGACACATCCAGCACAAGCATTGCTTCACCTTGTACGTCATTCGGTCTCTACCCTAAATGTTATAACGCAGAACTTTAACAAGGTTTGTTTCTATGCCTGTCCTTGTGGCCTTGGTCGTCTCTCACCTTCCCTTTTCTCCGCGGTCCGGAATTGCTTGGCGATCCGGGAATGGACCGAGGAACCGCTTTTGACCGGGACAGGACATAGTAACTCACAAGGACCTACAGAGAATGGCTGTACAACAAATGGATACAACTGCACTCACTACCACAACCGTTGTCAATTAAGGATAGCTGGACACGATGCCTTCACGTTCCTGAAACGTATACATAAACCTAAAAAATCCAGACGCATGAAACTAAAATTTTGCTCCCCTGGACACTCACAAAGACGATTCTTCGTGAGGCTCCCACGCTCCATTTACCTCAGCCATTATGGCGGTCCTGACCAAGGTACTGATCAACTAACGGAGGAACTTGGAAGTCATCTGATCGCGGATAACCAAGGGTGAAATCAGTCGGCAAGCTGCACTGTCAGTTGTACATTAGTGTACAAACGGATTTTTGACAGTGTTCCAGGATGTGGTGGGATATCGCCTGGCAAGCGCTCTTCGTATAAAAATTCACAAATGTCTGTTTTAACATCACCGCAACGTGGCGAATGACTCGCCACTGAATAAAGGCACTGCCCCCAACTACATACTGGCAACTTCAGTAGAATCCTAATTTAACATTTTCCTGACACTTCAAGGATTAGATACTCCCTGCCTACATGTAGCGTTTTCACTACCCATATAGCGCCCAGACCGTTTACACTACTCAAACTTGTATGCAACGTATCGTCATTCATTGACGACTTCATTTCTCATGATTACTTTTACAATTTCCTCAGCTTGTACAACTTTCGGTTTGCTGCCAATTACATGAATAGCAACGTCGTTGTTGCGAAATATAACTGCATGTAAATGTTGCTCATGCGTGTTTTGGTTTGTCACGACAATTTCAAGAATAAACTGTTTATTTTTTTATTTAATAATCCCTAAACCCCGGAATGGCTGTTTCGATGTGCAGCCTAATACAAAGACGGCCGCTGCCTGGCTAATGATGCGGTCGACGCATGTCAACATGTGTATGGATCCGCGAGATGGTGGTAATAGTCCTACCACATTTAAGTGTATTGAGGGAACCACTAAACTGGCTCAAGGAATAAACCGAGAAGACTGTGACGGTGTTGAGGTAACTTGCTGCGCTGACAGTGAAGACAAGTTCCATCCCAGTTACGGACGTGATTGTTTACGCTTGGCCAACCGAAATGCTCT